ACTACTATTGGCTATACACAATGCACGAGAACGTAATAGATTTTACATACTGCAGATTTACCATAACTTACATGTTTAGGAACAAGAAAATCGACATATCATACAATCTCGACACCAGGACAGGAGTTATAGGACATACTTTAACTGATCCCTTTATTTACCAGCGAATTTTAAATGGTGACATGTATTTAAACTTCCTACAAAACGAATTGCCTGGATTAATAGAGGACGTGCCTTCACAAGTTAGTTTAAAACTTTTAGAGTCACTGCAAGTAATTATTCAAATACAGTGTTGCCCGTTCGTGTGATTATCAGAACAAGTCCAGTTGCTTGGTCCCACGTTTCAATTGCTGTACGCTGGACTTATTTTTATTTATTTGAAGAGGTATATATTATAGTCGAGGATTAACCAGCAGAGGAATTATGGTGCACAGTGTGAAGAAAATCCAGTGGAGTTCCAAGGCATTTTTTGTTTCGAGATATGTTTATAACCAGTGGTGTTTCGATTGATCATTTTTCGAAGGAAAAAATTATAAACTGACCACGCGTGCGCAAACATCAACTTCATTAAACACTGTCACAAATCAATAAAGCGTTTAGTGACTAGGTCGTTGGTCGTTGGTCACGGATTCGATTGTGGTCTTAGTAGGTACAAATCCTTATGGTTTATTTTTAACGCAACGACCGTTCCAATTTGTGTTTCATTAAAAATGTTGTGTGTAAGCTTGTGTTTTCATTGTTTGTTTTATTGCTTTTTGCAATTGCTTCGGAATTCGAATTTCAGGGCATATCACACACTAAAACATATCTTTCGTATTAATTAAGCATACCCTAACAAACCACATGAAAATAATAGAAAATTAGTATATTATGCAACAAGTGCGGTAAACAGCATTTGAGTCAAGAGTTTATTTGGCACGAGCGAAGCGAGTGTTTAATAAATGAGTGATCTAAAAAGTTTACCAAACGTGTTGCACACCACATTTTTCTACGACCGTTAGTTTTTGGGTACATTTTTGCAAAACTACACTGATGCATTCACTGATGTGAGCGTCAGAATTGATAAATGTCAAAATTTAGACCGTGTGTAAAATCTCCGAAAACATCTGATTGCCCCCAAACCATGCGGTAAAATCCCGGAAATGTCCGATGGGGCTCGAATTCATGAGACAAGAAACTTATGTGGTAAGGTGACGCTTCCCGCACGCTAGATCAGTGTATAATTACAGAAGAGAGTAGAAAAAACAATAAAAACGTTCATTGTTAAGCATTTTAAGATTCTTTACAGACCAACCTCATAATCGGCCTTTGCTATTGGCGCATTCCACTATATAATGCTGCACATATTGCAAAGGCCGATGGTTGAAAATTTAACAAACTGATTTTTGAAAATTTCAGTTAAATTAAGTGTTTATGATTATTAGGTGTAGTATATATATTTTTATGTTTAGTATATATATATATATATATATATATATATATATATATATATATATATATATATATATATATATATATATATATATATATATATATATATATATATATATATATATTTTATAGGATGATTCTTAGGATTTGGTCCACAGTGAACAAAACTCACAAATAATTTTAAAACACTGTAATTGTCATTGACGTTTCGACCGGCAACCCAGGTCTTTCTCAAAAACTGCAAAACAAAGGACAAAAAAAGCGTCTAACACAGAATATCTTAAACAGTAGACATATACGAATTTAAAAATTACAAATATTATAAAAATAAATGACATATATTAGTCATACTCACAAATTTATTATATTTTTTTTAAATGTCTATTATTAGCGCTGTTTGTGAAAAAGTACCACAACATACATCATTGCCAAAAACAATAACGTTCTTGCCTTGGCGTACGAATCACAAATAGAAGTGGAAAATAAACATTCATTGTATCTGATGTCTTTTTTTTTACCTCTTTGTTTTTATTTATTTATTTTTTTAGAGTGTACGTTTGTGTTAAGTTTCACTGTGGACCAAATCCTAAGAATCATCCTATAAAAAATATACAAGGATCCAAGAAAAGCATATTTTTCAACTATATATATATATATATATATATATATATATATATATATATATATATATATATATATATATATATATATATATATATATATATATATATATATATATATATATATATATATATATATATATATATATATATATATATATATATATATATATATATATATATATATATATGTATATATATTTTAATTTACCACTAAAACTACGATCGAACCCGCCGGCATGGCATTCCAATACAATATTTTTCCTTATTTAAACATAGAAGTAATATAATGCGCTGGGTCTATTGGCGCCTCAGTCGGTTACGTTTATTGACGTTTTTCATTCTGGAATTCGGACGTGAACTTGGTGTTCCGCAGTTTTATTTATTTATTTTTTTGGTGTCCATTTAGATCTAGAAATATTATTTATTTAGAGTTGAATAAATTATTCCGAAAAGCACAGAAATCAAAGAAGTATAATTTTTAGGAAACACTGAAAACTGATTAATTAAATATGGTTTGTTTTTATTTAAAGTATATTAATTTATATTTATTTAAATTGTAGGTGGTTAAACAATAATGTGTTTTTGTTCATTTTTGTCTTTTGTTTAATGCAATGAAATATGACTACATACCACGTAAACGTTTTTCTTGTTGTATAATATAGTAATTAAATGACTTAAATGCATCTTCAAAGAACAACCCAGTTTTAAAGGAATTACGAAGAATTCAAAGGAATTCTGACGAATTCCAGTGGAATTCCTAAAACCTTTGAGAAATTATAAGAATTACGGTTACACTCTTAGCCTGGAGTTTAAGTGCATTTCAACGAAGTTCTTATTGAACGAATTATAGATGCCTTCCAAACCGTCAAAATCACTCTCGGAGTTTTAGAACTCGCACGAGAGTCTATTAGAAAAAGAGAGGCGAGTGTATCGCAGGATAAACTTTTACAAAAGAGTTTTATTACATTTCTTGTATTTTAGCTTTAAGGAAACTTGCAATTTAGATTATAAAACGAATAACCAATGTTCATTTGGGCTCCTTCGTTACAAATTATTATTAAAATTAGCCAAGACTAGAAAATAAGTTTTTCTCGACAAGAGTTGCAGATATGAATAAAGTGATTTTAGGAATGACACTGTTGATATTTGGTAAGAATATGAACTGGTATCATATCTCTGCTGGGTGAAGAAATATTGCGCATTCGGGATACAGGGTGTTTATTATAATAATCCAAACTCTATGATTTTCAAAATTAACAATCTCATCTCTCATTGTTAGTTTGTGGTCTGAATAACTAAATGTGTAGTTTTTACGCTAGAGCTTGGAACGAATTATGAAAGATCAATCTTTCGATCGAATTTTTACTACGAGGAAGTATATTAATTTCATTTCTTTTTATGATATTGGTCTTATCTAATGGACATTTAACATATTATCTGAGATGTTTGACCGTCGTTCTTATGCTCCCACTTAGATCGGATTTAGAACACCAAGGTACTGTAAGTAAGTAAATAACATCTAAGGTTGACCAAAATTTTAGATATTAGGTTTATGCGTCGCCTTTTAAAATCAGAAATTATCGCCTTTCTCATAGTAAAACATAGACTAATTATATTTCTATGTGGTAAAACTTCCATTAAGTTCAGAGACTCGCAAGTTCTCGTTGCATTCGTTTAATCATTTAAAAATGTTTATCAAAATTTATCAACTTGACTGTGTTTATATCTCTCTCGTAATTTAGTAATAAAAGGGCAAATATCGTTCTTTCGTGAAGATATACGTAGACGTCTGTTTTAGGGAATATTTCAACCTATCAACTGCACGCGTGACAACTATCTTTAGATGTTGTCCAGTAATAACAGTAACCGTAATTGCCCAGATTAGCTTCATTATCTTCTGCATGCAGTGCACTAATCTCTACTGGCATTGTGATTACATATTAGATTATTAGAAGCCCGATTTAATAATCTCTCGGTTATAATCCATTTGATTTCATTTGAATCTGGAGTAATGGGTTATCGAAAATACATCCAACGTATTCGGTAATAATTTATAAAATTCTCGACGTTGAGCCGGTATAAGAGTATGTAATCTCTAAGGGATCAAAACTTTCTCCTCCAAATAAGAGAAGTCCACTCCCAACGGACTGGAAAATTGAAGGCATTATTAGAATTCGTCTTCCTCTTTAATTATATAAAATGCGACCGACAAAATTATTTCAGAGAATTGTACAAAATTTAACAACCAGAGTTTAATAAACATTGCATAAAGGTACAAAATTATCTATCAGCTTTTATTATAATACAACAAATACATTCTAAATTGTAATATATATCTAAATTGGAACTTTACAGAGAATTATAGGAATATAAAGCAAAAACAGTTGGTTACATAAATATGTAGTTATATGTATGCATAAACCGTAACGGATGCCAGGAGATGAATGTGGCCTCCTTTTCCATTAAATCGACTAAACTACACTAGAGTTGGCTCATTTGTTTTAGATTGTTCTCGAGAATGTCCGACAGAGATATACGTCCTACGTCATTCTGTCAGCGTACTTGATTGAACGTGTTAATGATTTTGTTCCTTTTTTGTTTGTCCATTTGGTTTGGTTTTTCTTTTTCTCGATGTTTTTCCTCAGTTCATTATCTCCGATAAATAGATGTTAATGGCTTTGCACCTGCCATTATTTAGAATTGCAATTCTTTAAAATAAAATGCGTAGGAAACAAATTAATACCTTCCTGTAAATTTAAATAAATTTAATAATTTAAATTGTTGTTCAACAGTTCAAGAATAAATAAGCTGGATGCTTATTTTGATGAAAAGTATTAAATAAGCAGATATTATCCAGTTTACACGCTATTCACCTATACAAGTAAACACTGCAACCATTGTATATAAATCATCCAAAATGTAAACATAGTAAAAAGGAAATCTTACCTTATTGCTTATAAGAGTTTCCGTTTCGTCGAATACGACGTAATACCATAACAGCCATAAAAAATTATTGATGGCAAACGAGGCGAACAAATTGATGTGGATCAATATCCTAGCGCACCTTAACGACCTGGAATGAAAAAAAAGATACGGTTTAAGTTTTATCTTTTTATAGTCGATACTCTAGGTGAATTCGGCTTTGTTATCGAGACTCTTTTGTGCTCCAGAGTATCGAAATGCGTTCGTTTTTGCAGTCTGAGAGCCGTCAAATTTTTTAACAGAGGGGTCGTATTTGATTTACTTTTCCTACGAATTCTAAAAGGGCCGGAACGATGGCATTGAATAAATTTGTTTAAATGAATCCTGGCGAGAAGGCCGCCAAACGAAAGTGTCTGCAGAGAATTATGATCACCTGCTCTAAAGAAAGAAAGAACGAAAAGAAAACCGAATATGGAACAAAAAAAATTCACAACAATAAAGTTATATAGGCAATTTATTTAGTTTTTTGCTCCATCTATATTTTTATACATTATTACAATAATATTGGGATACGCTCTGAAAAAATAAAGGCTCATTGTATTCGAAAAGTCCGGATTCCAGATGCATTTTTTTGAAATTTTTGCTATATAGGTTTTATTTATTTATTTATTTACAAAATCAACAGAATTACTTTTACTTACAGAGTAGGGTGAGAATAACGTAATACAATTTAATAATTATTTCCATATTTCGAAGAATTAAAAATTTATTTAACAATTTGTATAAAAAAATCACAGCAGACGCATTTCTTCTCTTATGTAGAGAATGAATATTGCATGATTCCATAATGTCTGTCTTCGGTATGTGTACTTGGTACAGAAACTTATTTTGGACGAGTTTTATAACAAGGACTCCACATAAAAGAACAATATTCAAGAATACTTCTGACAAATGATATATACAATGTTTTAAGACATATTAAAATATAATGCTCACAATTTCTTATGATAAAACCATACACTCAAGACGCCCTATCTATTATATCATTTATATGTGCCCTGAAAAATCCCGCAGCTCCGCAACTCTAGCCAACACGGTTCCGCAATTTTATATTGAAATTCTGCTTGTTTCTGCTTTCTACTACAGCTAAGCTCAAAACATTGATTAGTATTAAAAAGTAATTCATTTTTTATAGTCCTGTCTACTCCATCAACAAAACTAAAAGTGAAAATTATCGCACTTTTAGGTTTTACGTTCGTGAAAACATAAAAACCATTTACTTCCACTATTTGAAAACAAAATAGTATAGGACAAAAAATTGAAAAAATGTCCAAGCAGTGACTTTACAATGAGGAAATCAAATTCTATTTCGTTTAATTTATTTAATAAAAACATAATGAATAAAGGAAGCCTTGGGATTTTCAATTTTTTTAGAGAACAAAAAAATTCACTTTAAATGTTAAACGTGCTCATTCCTCTTGTTTTTAGTTTTGGTTAGAAATAGTGAGCACAATTTTTTAAAATCACATTATCTTGACATATTTTTGTTGATAACCCATGTTGTTTAAGAGAAAATTGCTCACAAATATTTTAAAACTTTTTACAAAACTTCTGGATTCCTCCTGCGTCGGTTTTTGCTGAGTCGAACTTGCAAGATAATATCAACATTCAATTTTAAATAATTTAGTAGCGTTAATATTTCAAATGCCAAATCACAACGTGTATTTATTTAACAAACACGGGACGATACGATCCCATTGGTCGCTGCCAAATTGCTGTACGAATTGCTCTGGATACCTAAAATACATTTTGTCATCTAAGCCCTCACCCTCCCGCTTTTTGTTTTTGCTTAGTCTTGTTAAGTTAATTAAATTAGCCTGGTTTAATAAAAATACCTGCAAAATCAGAAGAACAACATAACTCTACTACACACTACAGAAAATGCAATTGAAGATAACTCTATGCACAACACCACTAACATTTACATAAATATTCCCGTTCAATGCCCAAGCATTCTTATACGAGAACTTCGTAACTGCAGCCTTAAGTAAAGAAAGTCGCACTTTTGTTAAGTCGTCTTTAATGTGTATACCTGTATTCTTGAGAAATTTTCGATTTTTAAGTACGGTACTACGAACGATATCGGTACAAAAACGTACAATAACAGCACGCGGCCATTCAGGCGGTTTTTTCGCACTAACATGGAAACAGTTTTGGAATATTTGCATTACTAACATTGACATTGATGTTAACAAATTGACGACCTCGGCGCGCAAGTGTTCTCCATCTTTGCACTGCAGCCCAAATATCCGCACATTGCGGTTGTGCACAGCCTGTTCTTGATCATCCGTCCTTTTCCTCAGAAGTTGATTTTCAGTTTCCAAAAATTTTATTTTATCAGAATAACTCTTAATAGTTTCATTTAATTTAGAGACTTGTTCCTCAAATTTACTTTCAATCAATTTTGAAACTTTATCAATAATCTCCTGAATCAATTTATCATTAAACGTAGTAACAATGAATGTTTTGATCTCTCTCGATATCAGCCGATGACCCATGTTTACAATCAGTACGAAGTAAGAAAATTTGCTACTATAAACAACTTAAAAACAAAAGTTTTTATGGGCGATGTTGAGCACATATGTTCACTCACAGTGCGCTATCCTTAAAAACGTACAATAACTGTGACAGCAATTGCAGAACGTACTGCTATCCCAGGCCTATTGCAGGCCGTTTGCCAGAATCAGCACGGGATAATTTTTATTAGTATCGTAAAATTATAAAAAGTTTGATTGCGACTATGCATAATATATTGTCGAGGACACTATTTCTGGTGTTTCTGGTTTTTTGCTCTTGCTAATTTTTTTTATTTTCTTCTCATTTCAATTTCATTGAGTTGGTATAAGTTATTTAGCTTGAGCGTGTCTATTAGTAAGCATCTGCATAAACAATTTAATATACGAGTTCGAAGTAGTCCTTTTTAAGTTCTGCTATTTTAATATAATTTTCCGTTCTAGTCCGTGTTAAGTACTAATATTCAATTTTCGTAAGTGACATATTTGCTTAAGAATATTATACTAAATAACTATAACAATGTTATGTAACTTTACCTAAAAATATTCTATGTGTGTTAATAAATAATTATTATATCGAACAATCTTTTCAAAATTTTATTAGAAAATAGTATAAATATATGTGTTGTAACAGAAACGTGGCTTAATTGCTCGATATCTAATGACAGATTGAAAATTGATGGCTATAACTTTGTAAGATCTGACAGGAAGCTCGGTCGATGCAGTGGTCTGGTGTAAAGTCTTCAATTTCACTTAAAATACTAATTTTGATTAGATTAGTTTCTTTGATCACTTGGAGAATGAACTATCAAATTTATATACTGGATTATATTCTTTCGGATATAGTTAGTCACTCCGGCGTTTTGCCAGTTCCTCATATAAGTGACCCCAACCTCGTTTTTTGTTCAATTAATTTAAAATATAAAAAATCTGGTCCTATATTGAAAACATTAAGAGATAAATTTAAATCAGACTTAATGTCCATTCCCTGGAATAACATTTATGATATAAAAAATGCATAGGGCAAGGTAGAATTTATTAGTAGCAATATAAACGTTGTTAGATATTCACGCCCCACTCAAAACCTACAAGATATCAAAAAAATACGCACCATGGCATACGGACATTATTATTAACATAGTAGCTACTAGAAACAAGGCATTACCTAAATTTAAAACGAGTAAAAGCCCAAGTGACTGGCAGATCTATAGAACTCTGAGAAATACTGTAACTGCGCCGATAAAAAAAGAAAAGAAAGTGTATTACAATAGTTTTTTCTATAATAATGCCAATCAAAAGAATGTATGGGCAGGCATGAGGACTATGGTACTATTACAGGGGGGAAATAGTGATTTACCTGCAAATGTATGTAATGTTGAGGATATAAACAGTCACTTTATAAAGTTGTTCTCGATTTACCCCCTGATAAGGATTTAATTTCATATTATACAAATAGAGAAAATAGTTCAATCCCCCGTACTTTCTCTTTTACCCCTGTAACTGAAACTGATGTATTGCGGATAATTAAGACTATTAAGACTAACGCAGTAGGTTGCGATGGTATTAATATTTTTAGAATCAATTTATGTATTTCCCATATTTTGCCTCACATCACGCATGTTATAAACTATTGCTTAAAATATTCAATTTTTCCGGATCAGTAGAAAAAGGCATTCGTCATACCGTTACCAAAAATTGCAAATCCAACAACCTTAGATAATATTTGCACTATCAGTATTTTACCAACTTTTTCAAAAATCTTGGAAAAGGTTATATGTGAGCAGATGCAGTTTCACTTAGATAATAACAAGAGTATCCCCGTTACTCAATCAGGATATAAAGCTGGACATAGTTGTACTACATATAACCGATAATATATTTAGGGTTACAGATGAAAACACGCTGGCACTACTAACCATTTTAGACTATTCGAAAGCGTTTGATACCCTTAATCATCAAATTTTTATTTCAATGTTAAATTTTATTGGTTTGTCAGAAAACGCAACTAATCTTTTAGTTTCATAACTACAAAACCGATCTCAACCAGTAACATATAATGGTGTAACTTCTTCATTCTTAAATGTTAATAAAGGTATACCTCAGGGATCTATTTTAGGACCGCCTTTCTTTTTTGTATATGCCAAGCAAGCCTTTTCAGCCTTAAACTATGACTTGAACATAGTTTATGAGATGTCCACTAAGCATTGTTCACAATTAAAGGCTAGCAAATTCGCAGTAATCATTTTTGGCTGAAAGGGTGACAGGGAGAGATTAATAATAAAAAAAATTAAGTTTTGTGATTCGGTAAGAAAAATATTTCTAAATGTTTCCAAAGGCATATTTAATGTTAAAATTTATATATCAAAATTGTGAATTTTTAAGCAGAAAACATAGAACAATGCTGTGTGTCTCTGGATTTGTCTCAACTATGCTACGGGGATGCAGTGTATGACCTTGTTTAAACTATTTTGATAAACGCCGAAATCAAAAGCTTCAAAACTCATGTCTCAGGTTGATTTTTGGGATCCGAAAGTTCGAGAATTAGTCACACACTTCAAAGAGTTAATTGGTTAAATATGAAAAATAGAATATTTCTTCATTCTGCCGTTTTACATTTAAAAATTATAGAAATTCTCCTCCATACCTTTTCAATAAAATAAGCTATCACTGTGACATACATAATCTTGATATACTATTTAACGGGACGTTTACTCCGCCTATGCATGCAACTGAAATTTTTAAACGCTCCTTTTAATATAATATTGTTTCATGTTTAAATAATTTGCCACATAAAATCAAAAATTTAAGCAACCTAAAACGCTTCAAAACTAATCTTTTTCAGAGACTAATGGATGAGCAGATTAAGGAAATTTCTAGATAACTGTGTGCCCTACATGATATTGGAAGGTTGTGGTGAAGTGTATTTTTAGCAATGAGGCCCAAAGCTACACTTGCCACTGTGGTCCTTCCTTACATTGAAAACATCAGTGACCACATATCAAAAGTAAGTACACATAAGAAATATGACGTCAAAACTAGATTTACCGCTGGTCCAAAAATCTCTCAACATCTCCGGTCCGTCAAAGACAAAATTCCATTTGAGATACGCGACAAAGAATACATTGGAGAGACCGGACGAAAAATATCAACTAGGCTCAAAGAACACGAAAGAGCCTTACGACTAAGACAAATAAAATCATTAGCTGTTGCCCAACACACTCATGAAACCGGACATAAAATTTTATTAGATAAAACTAAAATTCTTGCAAGTAATCAGTTCTTCTACTAGCGACTCAGGTCTCTCTACCTGTCACCAATTTGGGAATCAGTCATCCGAGACGGTGTATAAGCAGGTACAGAGTAAAATACGAGCCAGTTTCAGTCAAGCTCTGAAGAAGCCAACAGGATGATTGGCGAAACGTCAGCAATTTCGACTCAGCAAAAACCGACGCAGGAGGAATCCAGAAGTTTTGTAAAAAGCATTACAGTAGCCTGTGGAAGTTTCTTTGAAAAATTACTTATTTTGATGCGCACCACCACCAAAAATTTCTGCGGTAAGCAAATATTCTATCGATGCTGCTCCCAACTGATACGGCGTTTTAACTTATGTACATAAACTTATTGATTATTTGTTTCAATTAAAAGTCCCGAATCATCAATGCATTAACAAATGTTATAAAGTCGGCTACAATCGTTCACAAATTAAATTTTATAGCGAAAATGGAGGTGCACGTGAAAGCCTAAAATAACACTCCAATTCCAATTTTAAAGATTTGCATATAGAAAAGGGGATTTAAATTTTAATCTGAATCGATGTTTGAATGTCTCTCACGCGACTTACACAATCAAGATTTGGTTACGTTGTAATTTTATTCAGTTGTTAGGGGCCTCCTCTCTGAGAATTTAGCTCAAATACAATTAATTATTCCTTGGCGCAGGCTCCGTTACTTAGATTTCATCGATTTTGCGAAAGTATCCACGAAGTCTAAAAATAGTTATTTGTGGAACTAGTGCATAAAGTGTTTGCTGCACAAAGCAGTTAAGCTCTAGAGGTATGATCGTGGTGAGTGCATGTGTTGCAGTCCATATTTTTTCTACAGCAGAATTAAATTTAACAGTTGTGTAACAAAATAATATATATAACATAATAATATGAAAATGGCAACTGTCAGAGACTATTCATAGGTAAAATGGATCACGTACTCATCATTAGATCAACCTTCAACTACGCAGCAGCAGCGAACCGACGGAACATTCTGAGGTCTACAAACTTCCAGAACCAACCAGCGCGCAAAAGACCGTTCACATGTTATAACGAACAAGCTGCAGCTTCTTTGAACTGTGAAGATTCTAATGCAGTGTATATCGGAAAATCCGGCAGGAAGATTGCCTTTAAGTTTGGTGAGAAAGGCCATGGACTCTGATGTGACAGAGATTACATAAGTTTTTGCTACTCAAGTTTTGTCCACGGGCCTTTCTCTTTATCAAAATGTCATGAATGCCCAAAGAGTAAAACACTTTATTTTCGGGAGAAATGGGAAATCACCAAAGCCAAAAAGAGTTGAATCCTTGATTGCGTTAACGACATTTTCAATTCAAACTATAGGTCTCCGGTTTAGCATCGTTATGAAATCTTTTTATTTCAATTACAACTCTGTTGCTTCGTTTTTTAGATGTCGTTTAAATCAAACGGATTCTTTCTCTCAATCCAATTTGTGTCCCTGTGCGTTTGAGTTCATTTTTTTTATGTGTGAAATTGTTCGTAAAATTTATGTATATTATTTCATTCTTTTAAAACTGTCTTTTATAAGTTTGTTAATAATGTAAAATATATATTTCTGGGAAAAATGAGTTGAGAAGCAGAAAAAAAGTCAATTTCATCGTTTTAAAACCGTTTTATTAAGTGCTGATAAACAGCGGTTAATGCCAATTATTTTGCTTTTAAAAATGTTGCTTACTTTTAAAAACTTCCTGTGCAGGGATACAAAAATTAGAAAAAAAAGATTAATATAAACAGCTTTCTACATGATATACATCTTTTTTGGCTAGCAGTGCTCCATTAATTGCATTTTACTTCGTCGAGGCTTGAACACAAAATGAGAACATTTTAATTTAATCGAAAGCACTCATTGTGCCTGCGCTTTTATCAAAGGGCGGAGGCGTTGGAGCTTAATATGACTACTCAGATTGTCGGGCCTAATATTACATGCGTCCTCACGAAGTCGGTCTAAAATTATGTTTAAATAAAAAATTAAGTCTTTTCTGCGCCTTAAAAAAAAAGAAAACCGAAAACATTCTTTTCTGTCCGTTTTTCATTTCGACATTTTCTTTGCGATAACATTAATAAAATGATTTATTAGTAATTTATAAATTAGTATACAATCGTTAATTTTCAAACCATGAATATAGAAAAAATAAATTACATAAAAATCGATTAAAACTCAATCTAACATAGGCCAGCGTATGGTTAAACTTTCGACTACAATATTTTAGTATATAATATATATATATATATATATATATATATATATATATATATATATATATATATATATATATATATATATATATATATATATATATATATATATATATATATATATATATATATATATATATATATATATATATATATATGATAACACTATATTTCGGGATATCATCCGTTCGCTCGTTGAACTCCGGCTGGAATCCTGCATCCGACTGGAATCCTGCATCCGACTGGAATCCTGCAGACGTTTCGCCAAAATCTCACTTGGCATCTTCAATGCTCGCGCTCCGAAAACACTTCGAAGTGTTCGATTCCAGTCGGATGCAGGATTCCAGCCGGAGTTCAACGAGCGAACGGATGATATCCCGGAATATAGTGTCATCACATTTTTCCATCCGTGAATCAATATGTGAGAATATATATATATATATATATATATATATATATATATATATATATATATATATATATATATATATATATATATATATATATATATATATATATATATATATATATATATATATATATATATATATATATACACGTGAATAATATCTGTCTTTTTACTTATCTGGTAGCGTTAGAAAAGGCATAATTTGCTCATTTGTGCTATTATTTTAAATAATATGAACATTTTGCCAATCTTTGTACACAACCGACAAGACTGACGTGATAGTTTTGGTTAGTTTCTTCTGGGCTAGCCAAAAAAAAACGAGTTCTACCCAGATTAAATGTTGACCAAGGTACAATAATAAATGATTGATTTACAATTAATGATTGAGAGTACTCACAAATGCATGGTCCATCAAGAAAACTAACCAAATTGTATTATTTATGCCTGCCAAATCAGAAGGGTTCACCTCACGACACGTAATATAGTGAATCACTTCACTTTTGGAATGAAGTTAGGTATATGAAAGAAGTTAAAAATTTAGGTTATCATCATCATTTCACATACTGTTAATATGTTTAGGTTTCTGTTTTTAAATATGGAAAATGGACTTATCAAATACGCTCAATTTGTTTAATTTAGCATCAATAATTAATTAATTAAGAATATAGATTAATCGAACTCATTTTAAGAAAAACATTTTGTAAAATATGGAAAATTTTCAAGATCATCGCTATTCTAAAGTAGAACCCTAAAGCCCAGAATTTTACATATTAACTTCGGCATTCGGTGAAGCTATATACTTACTTGAAATGAAGGAGAAATCCCAGAGATACCAGTAGCGCCACCAAGGAAATTCCGTAACCTACCGAATGGATGATCACCACTAGTGTTCGGAACTGGAACAAAAAATCGGGCGAATTTTTAGGTTTGTTTGCTTGGTTGACAATGATACATTTTCATCAAATGAGATATTGTGTATACTGTATCTCTAGTCATATTTAGATGAATGCTGTACACATATCTTATATGTATATCTCTATCTTATTTAAATGAGGAAATTCTCATTTGCAAATTACATTTAGATTAATTTACGAAATACCGTGCCAGTTTTGTGCTCAAAAGTAATCTTAACTTTGGTCTCTAATCAACAGTTTGGAAAGATAGGTTCGAATTTCTTGTCAAAGAATAACACCATTAATCATTCCTTATTTATTATATGTATGCTTGGTTGTTGGCCCAATAAGTATATTAATGAGATCCTCAAGTGAGAGCTTCGAGGTGGGGCTCCTATTATTGGAAACGGATCCCGGGTTTGATTCCCGGGGTTATTTTTCGTTTAATAAATAATTATTTTAAGTGACATGTTCTTGTGCGTAGGTGTGTGATACGATATGCAATTTAAGCCAAGGATAATCGGGAGTATCTGTCCAAAAAAGTTTAAGAGACTGGGACGCAATACTAATAAGAACCGCAAAATGTGTCACAAACATTCGCTGAACACAGGTCCGCGCTTTAGAAAATAGTTTTAATTAAACTGAAAATTCCGGTATGTTCAACTAATAGAACTCAACAACTGACAACTCAACTTATTCTGCGCCCTCATTAGTGTCTTAACTTTGTTGAAATAAAATATTTTTTTCAAATCCGTGAACAATTACGGTCATGAAAATTATAGTATCTGAACGAGATTTTTAGTTGACACCATTCGAATATCGAAAAATAATCGATACTTCTCCTAAATTTCTTTTCAGGAATTGACTTTTCTCCATATTGCATACATGGATCACTACCTCTGTTAATTTCGATGGCGTATTCAGCGCTTTGTTAGTATCAACTTTCCTTTTTTTTTATATTAAACGGATACGATGAAGACAATGATAAATGTTAACGAAATTAGATATTTTAATCTTCCACGCCATTTATCAATTATATTTAACTCTGCGTCACTAATCACTACACCAATTTATTTAGTCATATTTTGTTTTATTTTAATTCTAACCAAAACTAACATAGCAAATTTAATAATAAATTTTTTCGTACATTTTACACCCTACTTAAACCTGCGAAATTGTTTTTTTTTTACTAAAAATTGAAAAATTATTGGCCTTTTTTTGTAAATATAAAATTTAGTCAGATTGATAATTTTTTAAAACACGAATGACAACATTTGCACGTGAATAATTAATTAGATATAACTTGTTGAGTTTCTTTAAAATAACTAAAAACCTATTATTTGCAAAGTATTTTCAAAAACAATTGAAATTGAAATTTATTTTTCAATTGCAAACCATTTTTAAGGGTTTTTCCAAAGTAGCATCGTGATCTCAGCTGGTTCTGAAAGTGATTTTTCACAAAATTTAAAAGCAAATCCGACAGATTTGTAAACATAAAATCCAAATTTTACGTTATTATTGTTACATGTACCAGAATTTGCGAACGATTTTGTAGTTCCGGGGGAAAATTTAGATTAATTATCTTTTTCTACTCTCTTTTACTACTACCGAGTTTGGGAGCAATCGCATGTTTTCGGAGATATTTCCCACGCTTTGAATTATGACGTTTGTCAATGCGGACGGTCATGTCAGTCAATGTATTCGTGTTGTTTTGCGAAAATGTACCCAAAAACTAACGGTCGTAGAAAAAGTATAGAATGCAACACTTTCGGTAAATTTTTTGACTCACTCGTTTATTAAAAACTCGCTCCGCTCGTGTCAAATAAACTCGTGAGTCAAATGCCGTTTACCGCATTTGTTGCAGAATATACTATTACCGCAAAAAAATTGTCAATACCTCCAAAAATATCTTCCAATCTTTCAAAACGTTTTCGGAAAAATTTTATGCAAATTAGAAAATCATTGGAAAAAAATGGAAAATAAAACGAGATCCAAAAAAAAAACAGAGACACATAAAGTGCCACGTCGAAAGATGCAAAGTCTCTGTAGAAAATCAATAGATGAATAATTTGACATTGACCAGGAAGTTTAAGCCTAATATTATTTTTAACTAATCACACTGGTACAAATATTTACAATGATCGAATACACTCAAAGAAATTTTTTATTGTTTTCCTTTTTTTACTTCTACTGCAACCAACATCTTTCTGGGTACTCGGAATGACAAAAGCAAACTTATTGAGCCACATCTTTTATATCCATTTCTATCCATTTTCTAACTGATGTGCGCAAAATTTCTATAATCGTTTTCTTAGTAAATTTAAAACATTGGGCGTTGGTTTACCATGCATACCTTGACCGCCTGAAACAGTCAATAATGAACACGACATCGGTTTTGATAACGAGCGTATTACAAGGTTATATTTAGGGGCGATCGATGAGCTTTTTAGCTATCAGATTGAGCCTCTGTGAATACCAGTAGTTTACATATTTTTTCTTCTTTAAAATTAGGGGACTAGAAGTACCACGCGATCTAAGATAAAAATTTTGTCGAAAGCAATTGCAATAAACAATAACCATTGGATAAATAAAATAACAAATTAAAAAATACTCCCAAAATACATGAATTTGTCGATCAAGTTAAAACTTGAAAAAAAGATCTTCAGTATTATTTAAAAATGCAACGAAAATAAGCACACTGCTTCTGTCTCATCTAAATTATTGTAATTTTGTCCCTCGACTTGCGTGAACGTTTTGACTAAATATAAATTACAAACACTGCAGAATTTCTGTATTCCCTTTGTTTAAAATCTTATCCGAGGAGATTATGCGATTCACAAACTTCACGATTAAAAATGGTTAAATATATCGAGTTGAGAAAACTCCATCTTGCTTTTCAAACAACTTAAAAGTGGAAGTTAAGTCAAGATTAATCAAGTAGACAATACTTCTCTTTCCGCTTTTAAATATCATTTTACAAAACAACTTTTACGGAAAAATACCTAGGAAATTAAGAAGTTTGCTTTAGGTAACATTATCATTATTTATTATTTTACTTTATGGTCTCATATATACATAAATTTCTTATCCGATTCCATTTTTTATTATCTTAAGTTTAAGAATTAAGTTTTGCATGTCTTGTTACATGGTCTATTAAGCTAGCAAGTCAGCTGCCCTTCGCCTTAAAATAAAAGCAGTTTTATTTATTTATTTTATATTCTTTTGTTTAAAAACTAGGATTGGAATTACGTAAGCAACTGCAATCATACTCAGCAATATTATAGGCCAATGTCGAGTCGAGTTTCTCGATCTCGAACGGGAAACCTGCAAGTTAGTAACATGTTCGCTAACAAACTCGCACAAACATACGTACTGGAACAGTTCTTGATCACTCTTATAAACTTTTTAATTTTTCTCCCCTTCTCTGTATTTGCGAAGTAAGGCAATGTCAGTGTTACCGCCGGTATAAATTTCTACCCTCATTCCGGACTAAACCTGTTTCAATTTGGCGCTGACTAATAATTACAAAGAGCAAAACTTATGTGGCTGTTGTCACACACGAAATACCGGATTTTAAAATGTGCGGAAGAGCGTGAAAGTAAATTAAATTAAATAAGTTCAACAATTAAATTAAACAGTTTCAACAATTATATTATACAGGTTATTCTCGAAACTGGAGATAGTAGACACCAAAATATTATGATTGAGCTCAAAATGCCAACAAATGTCGCTAGTTTCGGAGTTACAGAGTCTTTAATTTGTACATTTTATTTTTGAAATGATAATTACGAATTTTAAACATATTTTTAAGTTGCTCCTAGAGGGAGATACGATATATATACTTAAAATATATTATTATTTGGACGTTGTGTCTAGAAGGCGCTAGTTTCATTTAGATAAATCTAATCACAGTTTTTTATCGGACCAGTTGTGGTTGAAGCCTGATGAAAATTTGCAAGAATGTTCAATTTTTCATTGAATATCTACTCACTCTTGTTTAGGCCGTTTACCTCTGTCGGTTTTTGACTTATTACAAAGTTTAAGGCATTTTTTTTTCAAATCAAATGTTGGGGTTGTCTTCTACCTCAATACAATTTATAATACACACTTAAATGTGTTTGAATGTTAAAGAAAACTTTTCTATTATTTCTAAGTGTATTCGACGCTACTAAATCCTTCAAGTATGACCATATTGAGAACTCCAGAGTGTTTAAGTCTGGACTCCACCACACCAAATGTTTAGCGATGCACGTGGTTGCTGAGAATTCCACAAATGATTACTTTTGCAATTCCTTTTGCAAATCCTTGTCTTATAAATGTAGGCTCGTTTGTAAAAGGAATCTTGTTAAGGAAATTTGGGTTTTCCGTTTGCATATTTTGTAAAAATTGAGCCAAGTGTAGGCGACCTGGCAAATCTTGAGACGCTCAATGCTGAACCCGAGTCAAATGATACGAATGGAAATCTTCTTCACCTTCACCTGGACTTTACGAAACACGAACTAAAATTTCGTCTTCTCCACCTCTTTTCGAATGAAATGATCTTGTATAAAGTTTTAAATTATAACTCGACAGATAAAAAACATGATTCGATTTATCTTAATAATACGGTGAGACTAGCGCCCTCTAGGAGCAACATCCAAATAAGTTTAATTGTAATTCGTAATTATTATGTGAAAAAGCCTAAAACTGCCCATTGTCATTATTATATAATAAAAACTTTAAGAATAAAATTTCAATTTTGAACGAAACCCGCGGGCTACATTTGTACGAGGCATGTTGAGCTCGAAAATAATATTTTGGTGTCTATTATCTCCAGTTTTACTGTCACGTCACATCAATTAATACGCACAGTTTATTACCAAAGTACTTTTGCTACATTAAACTTTAGAAAATTCTACTATTTATTTAAAGAAACTTTTTGCAATACTTTTTCATTTTCATGTGGAATATTTTATATCTTGATATATTGGAATGAGAATCTATTTTACAAAAAAAGGAAATAAATTAAAAACTAATCTTAAAACGTTAAATATTTGTTACTCTTTCATTTTTCCAGAATTTCAAATACGGTAACAACAGCAGGAGACATAAAAGGAGTACAAAGCTTAAGTCCAGAAAATGATCAAGAGAGAACGACTACAGCAGTGCCCCATATAAGTAAATCTCGATCACAGGAAGCCGCTTCCCCTACGGAAGTTCTGGACTAGATAACAGCGGTACAGCAATTTAATAAAGGTAACCGCATCAATCACTCAATTAAGCTTATAAAAAATCTAGCATCTAGCGTCTTATAGCATGAGGGGAATAAAAGCCGAAAAAATGTGGTGTTTTGGTAGTACTAAAAGAACACTTTCTCTGTACTTTCGATATGACATATTTTTTGGAAAGGAAATATTTTAAAAGGGTTTACACCGTATTTGTTTTTACGTAATTATAAAACAGATTCGATTTATTCATGCGAAAAAAAAACACTTTCAGAAACCCAATTTATTAAATATACAAAAATGATTTAATCTCCTAGAAAAAATTAATTAAAACGAAACAAATTTAAGTTTTTAATCTTACAACTCCAACCAGCAGATAAGCGCCTAGCTGCCAAAAGGTGTCTATCTAAATTTCAATTTAAATTCGCTCGAAAAAACTATAAACATAAAGATAGTTAGCAAGTGAATAAAAGATCATTAAATATTTCATAGCCCTGTTTAAAAACCCGAAAATAATAAACAATATATTTCTTAGAATTTAATAATATAAGTGGGCCAAAAATGTAACGTAATTTGTCGGTGATCATGAGATGCCTATGTCATTGTGACAGGTTTTTACATAACTTGCTATGATTGCTAGTTTCTTTTGAAATTTAATAGAGAAACCTACTTTAAAACATTATTTGCTTAATAAGGAATTAGTAGACAAAAAATTATTAAAATTTTATCATTATCGTTAACAGTTTTTCACAGCTAAAGTTCCGGTAAATTCACACACATTTTTAAGTTAATTATTTGTTTTTATTAATTTTTTATTAGCCTACAATATTATTACCGTCTCAATGTGTTCTTAAATACTGGTAATTTTATATTTTGTCTTAACAATTTTGTATTTTAGATTTGACATCTACACTTTTTTGTAATATTTTCTCGTTTTTTTTCTCTACAGTAATCAAAAAAAGAACAATAATTAATATTTGCAGTACCACACTAATCAAAATAAATAAAAGAAATCTAAACCTGCAATAAAATACAGGGTAAGTCATTCAAAACGGCAATGTTGCTTAATATTATTATATATTATTTATTATTATATATATATTAATTATATATATATATATATATATATATATATATATATATATATATATATATATATATATATATATATATATATATATATATATATATATATATATATATATATATATATATATATATATATATATATATATATATATATATATATATATATATATATATATTATTTATTATAACTGGACATAATAAGGATGCTATTGTCCATTTAATATTGCAGAAGCAGAAGTTTATTTCAACAGATAACTTAAATTTTTGTAATAAATTACGTAAAATAAATCTGTATTTTCCATGGAACATTTATAAAGAAATTAAATTAAATATAAATGTTAATTAATTTAATACTTTTTTTTTACATAAATTACATAATTTATTACAAAAAGTTTGTTACCTGTCAAAAAAAAATTGTGTGTGAATATTAAATGCGCATAATCTAAATATCACAATGAAGAGGAGGCAGAAGTTAAAATATTAATTACGGAATGTCATGATTGCTTGACAACTAAATTATATTAGGCGGGGTCCGTTTGCCTAACATAATTTTTCCATAGGCTATTCATGAAAAAAGAAATGATTGTTTTATTTATATTTATGTGTTACATATATTTGAAAAGCTCGCAAGAACCCTAACAACGTTATTAAAAGACATACATTTAAAAAAAAGCGGAATTAACCCTGTTCAGAACAGTTTTCACCTTCTTGATAAGTTTACGCCTAACCGAGCTACAAATGATATCAAAAAATCCGAGATATAGACATTTCTGTTTGTATCCCCGTTCATTTCATGAAAAAGAAGCACTGGATCACGAAAGCCGCAACTCTATTGATAAGAGAGATTACGCCGTAAAGCATCCAAAATGGGACACACTGTACAGAGGCTGGATTATATATGCCCACAATGGAGAACAGGAAAATTTTCGCAATATCTATGTTTGTTTTAATGACAGTAATCCATTGGTTGTCTCAATCACGTGACCAAAATCGGTGCTACAGGTGTGTAGTTTGCAAAAAAATGAAAAAAACTAGGTTTGCATGAACGTAGGCAGGAACAGCAGCCGTCCCTGGGTTTTGTTTTGAATTTAAGGGTTCCGCTTACGTCTGCATGTGTATACGTCACGGCAAAATAACGGCAGTAATTTTGGTTTATTTATCTTTCATCAGCATAATCTAAGTTACATTTGATACGACAATAACACTACTTTTGGATTAACAAGGCCATGTTTATGACAATATCCTATTCTTACAATGGAAGTCCTAGGGAAGCAGGTTAAGTAATTATTATTATTATTATTATTATTATTATTATTATTATTATTATTATTATTATTATTATTATTATTATTATTATTATTATTATTATTATATACGTTATTTAAGTTACAACAATAACTTTTCGTATTTTTTTTTTAATGTGGCAAAACAATTATACTGGTCAGAGAGTGTTTTATTTTATTTAAAAAATAATGCTTCCCTGATTAAAATAAAATGTAACTTACCGATAAATCTTCTGTATTAACACAGGTAGTGTAATTGACCCACGTTTTGTTATAGGGTTCATGAAAGTACCACGTCCCGTCATCTTCGCACTTGTAATAAACTGTATCTGAAAAAGAAATAGTAGCTTACAATCCAATCGATTCAAACGTTAAATAAATAAATAAATAAAATTGTGAAATTAAAATTTGAATCCATACACACAAATTAAGGGGTGGAAAGTTAGTCAGAAAGTGTATCGTATACCAGGAATCCATTTTTGTTAAGTAAATCCACTGACATCTACAAAAATCAACGAAAATCCAAAGAAATTGGTGAAAAATTTACAGAGTCATAAAAATTAAGGGTCCCATTGGTGATTTATAGCTTATTAATATCAAATTATGTTTGTCCGAAGAAAAAAAAATAGATTTAGCTAGCAACTATGTCACATATGTTCCATTTGTAAAGTGCATTCAAAACCATTTTGGCCTGTAACACTAGCAGCACTACTGACTAATTGTTCAAAATGTCAAAAAAAAATTGAACACAGGGTTGGTAGAAGTCTCCCTTCTAAAGTCAATACGGCGAAAAGAATTTAAACTTGTAGGTTGATATGGTTAACGATAGTAATTATGCTTGGGGCTTCCTTTAATACAAAATTTCACGTAATTTTAAACTTCGGTTTCTGACATAGCGTGCCCAACGAGGAGCGTTAAATATGTTTTATTAGTTTCCGTACAAGTATGCTCCAAAGTTTAAAACAAATCAGGAAAGGGAAACTTAATAAATTTCATATTAAAATTTCTTAGTCTTATTAACCCCAAAAAATAAATATAGGAATAACTAATGAAATATTGTTGGAAAGGAAAGAAGAATGAAGGAAAACGTGATAATATCATCCAACACCCACAAACTCTTATCATGTTCCTGTGTGTGTTTTAATCGGTTAATTACTCGTATTAAAAGTTGACTAACTAAACAAATGCAAAAGACATTCTGGAAAGTAGTGTTTATGCGATGTGCTTTGTATTTAGTCTTTGTTGTATTACTAAGTGTGTCGAATAGTACTATTGTCTCCGTTAGATTCGTTCGAACTATATTGTGGACGCTGAAATTTTTGCTAATTTAAGAAAAATTAAAGAAAAAATATCAAAATAATGACCATATCTCAACATGTAAGACAGAGGAATAAGGATTTTTAATGTGCAACAATTCTACATATTACCTAGATATTATTATAAGAATTGTAATTGTAATCGTAGTAAGTAGATTTAGAATATTTTTGACACTTGCCATTCACATGTTGGTATATATTTCATACATATTTTTATATTTGTTCAACTTCATTTTTTACAGTGACAATAAATCCCGGCACACTAATTGATATAGATATCGCTACTACTCTTTACAAATAAACTTAATGGAAGTGTAGGCGACCGAGTGGAGTATTGATTTTCAATATCAGATAAGTCGTTAATGCTGATAGCCTCAGCAAATGTGTCCATTTGACATCAATATAGAACATATATAAAGGTCATCAGAAAAAAACCTCCACATGAACACGCTATAATTCAAATAGACAATTACAATGTTGGCTACAGATGTGAAATACGGTGAAAAGCGAAAAGCTTCTAAGATCGATCATGAATACATTTTTTACGTTGCAATGAATACTAACTCGTGAAAACAGGACTTCTATGTGTAACGCCGAAAGACGTTTTCAGTATTGAATTAAGAAAACTTTAGTAAAACATACGTATAGACATACAATGCTAAGACATAACAATCATGCTATAACATTCAGTAAATGTGTACGTGTAATTTTGCCAAAATATCCTCAAAAATTAAGTATAGTACATAAAGTATTGTATAGTATTATATAATATATTATTTTCGCAATAAAATGACAACAATCTTCAGCTATAAGACATGTCAAAAATGGACGTATAATATTCTCCAACAGCTCTAAAAACGGCAATAAATCTCAAAATACCTCAAAACCTAGGTGCGGTTTGGTTGGCTCTTAACGGAAAATAAAAAATAACAAAAAAAGCTTATAAAATAGGTTTAATAGCTGATTAATAAGAGAATTAAAGTCTCAATCAGACTATTCGACGATATAGGTTTTAAAAAAACGAAGTTTTTCTGTTTGTAAGATAAAAAAATTGGTTGGTAAATTTTGGACCTATAAACAATAAATCAATTTCCAATATCCATTTCGAAATGAGGATTCGTGTGTTTCCGTTTACCACAAAAAACATGGTTAAAATGCACGGCGTTTTCAAAATAATTAAAATGTCTATGAAACTTTTGCTATCCATTAAAATAACTAGTACTGCGAGAGACGAAACACTCTACATACTCTTAGCATTTTCATTTCATGCAGCTCTTTTCTTATGAAGATGAAAGAAAATTAACTTCGCGATACTAGGCTACCCTGTATAACCACGCAAAAAAAAATGGTGACACATTTTCATTGAGGAAATGGGTCTATATCTTAGACCTTGCCGTGACTGAGTGCTAAACTCGCTTGGAAATTGATATTCTCTCCACACTTACACTGATTTGTGGCACAAAGACGACGCCATTAATACCGCGGAGCTCGGGAGTGAAACCATTAGGCCACAAATATCTTAAGGGTGTTACGGCACATCAAACGCATATTAACCAAATATTTGTATCGGCACTGGATTTGATATTACGGAAGTGCCTTTATAATGACCGCAACAAGTTAAATAATAACAAAACCCAAGAGAATATAATAAATTTTTCAGTCAGAGAGTGGCTGTAGTATAGACTGTATAAGAAACGCCGCAATGTTGCACAATTTCCTGGCGAAAATATGGCGTTCTAAAGTCGCGAAATTTCAAAATGGAGGTGCAGAATTGTGCAGAAATTCAAAGAATGTAATATGGGGGAAACATTAAGTTTACCTATTAAAAGGATATATTTTATTAAAAGAAATTGCGTGTGAGTTCCACTACATTGCGCAAAATGTGCAGATTATTTTAATATTGTTTATTGTGACACGAAGCCACGAAAGACACAGGTTTCGAGTATGTATGGTCTGTTCATAGATATAAGAATGTGACCAATTGCTTTTGACATACAATGCAACAAGATTATTACCTAAAGTTTCGGAATCTCAATTCGGGTAAAATTGTGGTCCGTAATAGAAAATAATTTTATACCTACCTGTGTTTAATATTCTTTGGTTTGGTATACTACTTAGTTTAAGTTTATTAGTAATCATTCTTATTTCGTGTGTTGAATCGTGTGCGAATTATGCAAAATATGTGCGAGTCTAGTGTATCTCAGGAGATGCTCCCGCCCAAATGTAGAAAACACTATTCTATTGAGACTAAGGAAGTTATAAACAATGTTTATTTGACTCTCATTGAACGTGGTGCCAGCAAGCAAGAATATTTAGAAGAAACGGCCACATGGACGAAAATTCCAACATCAACTGTATGGAAATTTGTGAATAATCCCATTTCAGCGAGGAAAAAAAGAAACGATGCTGACATTTTCTCAAGTGTAGATAAAAGTGATCAAGATATAATACGGGGTAAAATTTACCAATTACACGAGGAACAAAGCGTGTTAAGGAAATGTTAAGAACTACCTTACGGAAGTGTATTCAACACATGGGTTTTATATTTTAAAAAATTGACAAAAGGCAAGTTTTAATAGAATCTTTTAGAATTCGGAAATGGCGACTGGAATATCTAGAAAAAATTAGGATTTACAGAGAACAACAAAGGCCAATTATTAACTTGGATGAAACCTGGTTCTACACTTATGATACCCCGGAAAGGGGTTGGGTTGACTCAACTGGTAAGTGTAAAACAAACGCGCCATCAAAAAGAGGTAAAAGAATAACTATTTTGCATGCTGGCTCTAAAGATGGTAGGATTCCAAATGGACTTTCTCTGTCTGCGAAAAATATTCAAGATTCTTCTCTGGATTACCATGAAGACACCACCGCTGATTTATTTGAAAGTTGATTTAAAAACAAACTAGTTCCAAACCTTCCTCCTAGTAGCGTCATTGTAATGGACAATGCAAGTTATCACAGTAGACAGTTGATTAAAACCCCTTCCTGATGTGACACAAAAGCAACAATCCAAAACTACATGTATAATAACGACATTTATTTTCACGAAGATTATACCAAAAAGCAATTAATTGAAGTTCTACAAAGCTTGAACGTACAAAAGGAATACGTCTGTGATAATTATGCAAAAAATCTAGGGCATACAGTTTTAAGGCTTCCACCTTGCCACTGTATATTTAATCCCATTGAACATGTTTGGCACCAACTGAAATCTGCCATTCGTCGTAACAATGTTTTTCTCCGTGTTAACTCCAATGTCTTCAAACTTATAGAAACCGAAGTTTTTAACATCCCTCCACAAAGTTGGCAAAATTCTGTTAAACATATAGAAAAAGCAGAACAATCATATCGTATCAATATTGCAAATAATATCGAACAAATAATAATTAGAACAGGCGATGATAGCGATAGTGATATTGATATATTACGTGAATAATTTTAAGTAATTTAAGTAGGTAATAAAAATAATTTGTAATTTAATTTTAGATTTAAACATAAATACATAAATAAACAAATATTGTTTAGTATCTTTCCCAAACAAAACCCCAAATAATTAAATTCTAAGCAAAGTACGGACCTGTTCGGCCATATTTCATTCTTACAGCTTGCTCGGGTCTTTCCTTAATTCGTATCAGTTAGACTTTACTTATTTCACTAAAAAATGTTGCTCTTCTCGCAGCAGGCAGAGTTGTAGAGGAGTTGTTGCGTTTAAAACAACCATGATGGTTTTTTCATCGCAATTATATCATATTATATTATATTACGTACCAATTTTTCATAGTTGTAGGTGTTATAGATTTGTTTAGGGTACTTGTTTTAGTTGAGGTTGAATAAAACTGATTGACGTGGCGTTAGAACATTTTGAATGCTAAAACAGTGGTTGGATAGGATTGTAACAATTTTGGTGGGTTTGGTTGTATCATTATTATTTTATGTGATATTGCTTTACCAAATAGTATATTTCTTATGTTTTGCTTATACCATGATCAAAAATCTAATTGAATATTCTTAGTCTCAGTGTTTTGGTGTAAGAAGGCTATTAATTTAATTAATAACATTTATCTCAAGCAAATATTACATTTCCATTTCCAAAAGCATGTTTTCTGGACCTAGTTTCGGATATCGAGATGCACATTGAAGATCCGGGAGATAATTCCGCTGTGTTGTGAAATTTGAGTTGATTTGCGATCGAGAATTGTGTTTATGATATATTTACCACATAAATGTGTCCGGTTCAGGACGAGTAAATATTGAATGTCGTATGGCGATTAATTAATTTACTGGACGTGTTATAGAGTTGAGGAGTACAATGGAAGTAGATTTAGTATTTAGAACAGTGCATCTAAGATATCAAAAACATATGGGGGCAACGAATTTCTAATTGTTCTTTAACGGTAGCTTTTTTTAAGAAATGTTAGAAGACATAAATTCTGAAAATATGATATAATGCCATAAAGTTACATAAATTTTTTGTATTTGCAATTAATTTTAAAATATTTGCGTGAAGATAAGCTAAGTGTCATATCAAAAATGACACTTCCGTTCTGAACATATTGATCTCCAACAGAGAAAATAACCATGTCGGCACGTTAGCACGTTTGCTCGTAAAATTTTAATTCTGCGCTCTCAGTCATCACTCCACCAATCTGTTGTACGTCAGTCTCACTCTATAAAGTTTTCATAATTAGACATCTCTTTCTTCAAGAATCGAACGAAATCGAAATTATAACCACCACATTCTACAATATGTAATAACAAATAACTGGAGCCTAAAAGTAGATCAATATTGCAATCGAAAAGAAAAATACAAATAATCAAAAGTTAATTCATTACAAATATGGCGATGTTAAAAACTTAGTGGAAACATATCAACGTTTTTCTATTTTAAAAATGGAATAATTCAAATTTAAACGCTATTAACAATTTACTAAAAAAGTTATCCTATTTATTATGTCTTGATTTGAAGCAATCGCGTTTTACGACAAATGAAACAAATAATTGTTCCGTTGTAATAAAAAGGTTTGAATATTTTTCTGCTTACAAAAATGTCGACCTAAAGTTAAGAAAATTTTTAAATCGCGTAAAGAAGACTTCCTTCTAATCATCTTTTTTACCTGCTACACAGGTGAAAAGTTTTTTAATTTATATTTATCGCTCGAAATTGAATCGCGATGCGCGAATCATCGTATATAAAAGAGACAGATCAGATTCACAATTTTCTTGAATAGAAATATGAAATTGAAAACGCGTTTTATGTTTGGCAAAGTTCAATAAAGTTTGTGCTTGGAGTCATCTTTCCAAGCAAATATAAATTATTAAATGGGTGTTAAATGAGTAAGGGTGAAATGAAAAATGCTTAATAAGTTTATCTTGGAAGCGACAATGATCCACGTACTTGTTGGTTCAAATCCTGCAATAAAGAAAGGACACGACTGATTGGCTACCATACCACTTGGAGTCTCAGGCCAACATGACCAACCGTCAAACCATGCTGGGCAATATAGACCTGGAACAAATAACACAATAACAGTAATAATAATAATACTAAGCAAAACTAAACCTAGTTACACTCCTTTATAGCACTTTTTGTGTAGTTTAAATAGATTTCTTTTACCTATGCATTTAATTATTTTCTTTTGCATATTTTTCTTGGGGGGGAGGTGTCAGTGAGAGTCAACTTATTTGTTCAACATTCTATATAAATTATATTGTTGTTATATTTTTTTCTTTCTTAGAATCAATTTTTTTTTAACTTTATAGAAGACTGCAAGGTGCGTTCCTTTTTAAATAACCCATATGGCTCTTTGTTCAAGTAATCAGTAAAATCAGTTCAAATTTTCTCTTTGCCCAAAACATTTTTTTAAAGTTTAGTAACACAATTTAATAGTTAGTGAGGTTGTTTTCTTATATTATGATATATTAAATTAATTTAAATTTTGTCTTTTTTCACAAACTAAAAAGAAATCGTATTCTTTTAAATAATATTCCTGAAATAATGCATACTGTTATTTTATGACCATTACATATTTTTTATAAGGTTGGAAAGGACTTAAATATTTTGAATATCTAAATACATCAATTTTGTATGCACATTTGCCGAGGTTTTTTTTTATATATAGAATCCATTTGCGAATAGCTTCTAAATTTTCAAATTTCTACAAGATTTTTATAGCTATAATAAATTGGAGAATACATAGTATACGATCATAAAGTAAGAACCCCTTAAATGTATCCAAGCTTCTCCCTATTTATTGATCCAACTGTCGTCAAGAAGAACTGATAAAATGTAACAGTGTATACGAAAACGGAGCTGCAGCCGCAAGTCCCAATTGCCGAAAATGGTCAAATTTAAAGAGCGGATGCTAAGATGCTTCTTCTGAGGTTCAGTCCCTCAACTCCGAGCTATATATAAATGCTGACAGGAGGCTCTAGTCTGCATAATCAAATTCAGTTTTCAAGTATAAAGATAAATTCTATAAAGGTTGGACTACGAACTCACATTTAATTAGCAAATAGTATATTATGCAACAAGTGCGGTAAACGGCATTTAACTCACGTGTTTGACACGAGCGGAGCGAGTGTTTAAAGAACGAGTGACTTAAAAAGTTTACCGAAGGTGTTGCATACTATACTTTTTCTACGACCGTTAGTTTTTGGGTACATTTTCGCAATACAGCAAGAATACATTTACTGACATGACCGAAAACATTCAGTTGTTCCCAGACCCGTGCGCGACAATCCCGGAAATGTCCGAAGTGGCTCGGATCCGTGGGAAACGAAACTGACGTGGTAAAGTGATGCTTCCCGCACGCTAGATCGATGTGTAATTAGGTATCTTATAGACGGGATTAGAAAATTAATATAGTATGCAACAAGTGCCGTAAACAGCATTATAAACGAGTGACTTAAAAAGTTTACCGAACGTGTTGCATACTATACTTTTTCTACGACTGTTATTTTTTGGGTACATTTTCGCAGATCGACAGATCCGTGTGTAATTATGCATTTTACAGACGGGAGTAGAAAAAAATATTTGTTCGTGATGAATGACGAAGTGCATACCTCTTACAGTAAAATCTATGAAGACTACTTATACGTATTCTACAGGGTTGATCAAACTGGATACTTTTCAATTGTTCGAAAATCTTCATTTAAAAACTTTTTTGCTATGCGAAGTTTTGTGGTTCTATGAAAACATTTGCAAAGCACCTTTTTACTTTTTATATAATGGTAAAAATTAATATTACTAAAGCTAATAATTTAATATTTATCAACAGAATGAATGTTTTTTAGATCGAACAGTGTATATTTTTTTAAAAAATAAATAAGAACTAAAAGTTCAGATTTTCGCGAAATTATATATTATGACATGACAATTGTTTCGACAACACCGTGTTTTTATCAAATGTGTACACCCCACACTAGTGGGGATTTCGAAGGCGATAAAACAGAGAACTGGTAGTTGTTAAATTGAGACGTTAACTGGTAATGCGTTGAGTTTGTCTTTCAAATAAATGGGATCTGATAGATTGTAAGATGGTTATCAAAGCCTGAAAGAAGCATTTGCAACCCGGCCATTTTCCTCACAACCTCTTTTCGGAATATTTATACACAACCTAATTAGCATCGGTCGTTTTGAGAAAAAAGACCAAAAAATTATACATCAAAAAAGTTTCAGGAAATAGCGAATTTAGGAGACTTAAAATAATCCATAACGTGAACACAACAGTTAAAGGCATCAATCGAACTAAAAAGAATTAAAGTTTGACGAAAAATTATACGCGTATACAAAACACAACGTAACAGAAAAGGGCATGAAGAGCATAGATCTTATTTGTAAGATTTAACTAAAAACAAGTGTCTCCAAAACTTTTATTTTGGCGAAGAATACTCCAGCAAAGTATCAAGTGTTGTGTTTTTGGTAAGGTAAATTCCTTTTTCACAATTATTAAACGACATCAATTTCCGTTTATCTCTATTACTTTCTTTTTAAAAGTGTCCAATTTGGTCCAGCCTGTGCAATGGTTAGCAAATTTTTTTCCGGAATGTACTCATTTTTGGTTCAATTCCAATTAACCTTGAACAACATTGCAGGTTGTTCATAAATCTGGCTGACGTATCTATACTGTTGGCTTCTTCAGATCTTAACTGAAACTAACTCGCATCCTACTCTGTATCTACCTGCTTATATACTGTCTGAGGGGCGCGGAACGAAAACATCGTCATGAAAAATGTCTGGGATGACTGATTGGTGAAAGGTGAGTCACGGTTAAGATTGTCTGGTTGTTTAGAGATTTCTATAGATTCTCGGATTTTTTCGTTTCTTCTGTTTCTGTTGAGTTCAATTGTTTATTGTGTATTTATTTAAGGTTCTATCATATTCTTTTAGCCTACTTGATATTTTTCATCCTGTTTCTCCAATGTAGAATCCTGGTATTAGAATTTAGTCTTTGACAGGTCGAAGATGTTCGGAGATTTTTGGATTTTCGGAAATATGATGGAACGTTAGAGTGAAGAGCAGATGTAAAGTATTTTAATTCTGGGTTCAGTGACTTGAGTTGAGATAGGAAATGCAAGCCAGTTTCGGTTACGCTGCGAAGATGCCAACAAGATGGGCGGCTAAACAACAACAAGTTCAATTTATCAACAACCGACGATGGGGCAATCAAGAAGTTTCTTTGAAAAATACCCCTGTTCTATATTTTCTAATTGTTTCAAATATTAAATATCAAAATACCATATTAAAACCTAACGAGAAACAATCTACATGTTCCGATTTAGTCCGATGTCCATATAGAGTCTAACCAATTACCGAAGAACAGTAAACTAAAATAACTAATACTGGGAACATCACAGCTAGAAGCACTTATTATCTTCGTGCTCTCATCCGAGGGAGAAGGAATTACAAACTTATAAGTTTATTGCTCAGTTTGTTCGGAATATGATTCGTAGATTATTTCTCATATACGTGTAAGCACAAATATTTATATCAGTAATCGTGAAACAGAGCTTCGCTAAAAATGTGTGAACAAGCTAAAATCGAATCCTTCTTAAACAGCATATCAATATTCATTATTTTCGGTAACTGCAAGTAGAGCTCTTTTAACATGAAAATTACATTCTGTCGCACTATGTTTATATCGCGAAAGCTCTCAGATTGCTGAAAGGTAGAACTATGCACTCCTAGTTTTGAATATTTGCAGATCGCGTGTGTCTATTCATATATAGGTTTGTTCAGTTTATCCATCGTCGATGTGTTTGAGAACTTTAAAAAAACATTTAAATTTTGCCAGGTCATAATCATCATTGAAGCAAATCAGATTCTAGATTTTTTTAAATTTATTTTTATTGAGGAAATAAAGACAACATAATAAGCCAATACTTTGTTTTTTTAATAAGTTCTAGTATGAGAATTTTGAGCAGAAAGACGTACCACAGAGAGTAAAACTCTAAGCTTGAAACAAAATTGTTGCGCATTTTTAATGCAGAATGTTATAAGTATTTCAGCATAATCAATTTTTTTAGCATTCTTAAAAGGTAGCGCAAAGAAATTTTTATGAAGTAGTTTCTGATATACAGGTTGTATAATTTTTGACTCGTTTTTTATTAATATTATAGCATTGTTTTTTTGTAATGATGATTGGTTAATTTAGCTAGCTTTATGTTTAACTGGACTAAAATTATCATTAGGTCCAGTGGCGTTTCATGCGGTAGCTTTTTGTAGCAACTCCTGAACCTCAAAATCGAAAAGGCAGTTTGGAAAATGTCTGCACCAAATACCTACAATCTAAATTTTCTGAGACTTCTTTTCGCAATGTTGCATTCTGTGTCATGCAACTTTTTGGTTGAGAATCATCATCAAAATAAGTAAGTTATCCCATAAAGGTGTCCAAAATGTGATATAGGTTGGGCCAATCAAGTCGTTCTCTTATCGGAACACGTTTTATTTGAAGAGAGAAGATTTTTGACCCACTTTTCTGAAGTCCGTATTTTATGAAAAACTCGCTGGTTTTACACAAAATTGACCATTAGAGGGGTTACAAATTAAACAGTGCTTACTGCTTTATTTAATAGAAAAAGTTAAATTTTTGAAACATATCCTAAGAAACTTTTTACATACATAAGACCACTAAAGAATTACTAAAGGCTGCAGGGACAAAAGCTATTCAAACTTTAACGTCTTTAAAATTCCTTAACGTTAACGCTGCTAAAACGGCAGTGTCGGTTTTGAGTTTAGGACAAAAATGTCGGCAGTTTGAATACTTATTTTAGGTTAATAGTGTAATCTCTCGTGTTGTAATTTTTTTTTTGTGTTCCTTGTGTTTTTTATTTCAGACTTCAATTTGAATACCATGTGTACATCTGTAGACAATTTTCGTTTAAATCAGTAGATTTTTTTAATAAAATTTGTTTAGCTTCCACATAATATACAGAGAAATAAGTGTATATGTAAAAATATAGTTCACACTTACCATGTTTTTCGGGGACATAGGATTCGTTTTCGTAACATTCGATTCGTCTTCCCTTTAGAATTGTATCCAAGTCCAACACATTGTCTTCGTCCTTCATATTAATCAAATAAATCGCAGTGGCACTGCACAAAGGTATTGATCGTCAAGTTTTTTATTAGATGGATTCCACACTAATTTATAAACCGAACCGTTTTCATAATTTCGACACATACGAAGTTATAAGTCGGTTTTCTCTGCACTGTTGTTCCTTTATTTTTAAAGGTCTTCGATAACTTGATATGACGATTACTCCCCGCACGTTTAGATATGTTTACAAACTTCGGTCGCGTTAAAGTTGCGGGAATCTAGTACCTGAAATCGAAAGATATTACGTCAACTAACAAGATCACGTTAAAAACTAAAAGCCTAAGCAAACGAACAAAAGTATAGCTTTGCCACTGCTTGCGCAAGGGGATTTTAATGTGTTGATATTTGCTTAAATTAGATTTACTACTGGTTTTGTTTCTCGGTTTATAGAGAGGATCAAAAAACAACTACGCCCGTGAGCTCCATATATATATTTGAAAATTCTCAATCTGCTTGATATCTGGAACTTTCATTTTTATCCGGCTAGTGTACGGCTATCCTGACACCAGTTATGCACGCTTTGTAAAAAAAGGTCCCGAAAGGTGTCCGCCTATTTGTATGTAACTAAATCAAAGTATTAGTCTGTATTCAGTATTCAAAGTGAAAGATCATTTTATCATTGATATTCAAAGAAAATTTTTCTTTCCCATATTTTTTCGAATCTTTTTTTAAATTTTGACGAAACAATTGAATGGCTTGGTTGCTTTATGGCGCGTAAATAATGATAATTGACAATGTATGAAATTGACATAGCATTTAAAGACGTAGCACACCTTACAGATCTTGTTAGAATCTAAACACACTGTTAGATTATATCGACAATGCAATAGAAATTTCTGATAAATTCTAGTATCTATAAATTATAGGACAACTTGTCAACATCAGTGGTTTTAAAAGTCGATAATTCAGGGACTAATTGCTTTTATTTTCTATAAAAATATATTTGACTTTTAATTTACAGTTTATGTATGTAATATTTTGGTTACTACTATAATAGTTCTTAAATTTGCCACATCAACAGAAATATAGTAAAGTATAATACCAACTCCATGAAGAAGGATTGAATAATTTGTTTATATTTTAAGCTACGTTTATAATTTTTTTGGGTGTAATAGATTTTCAACGAACAGAAGCCACGTAATAAGTCAGCAGAAACTCGGCTAAGAATACCTCATTCACAAACCAACTACCATTGACCCTCGGCCATTCCTTGATTAACAACCTTCATCTTTTCTGACTTAACTGACAGCTGGTCTCAGGAATTCCGTTTTTTAAAACCGGCCTATCTTCCGGGTTACTAACACCAAGCCTGTAAGTCGGATTTTAAGTCGTAGGTATTTCTAAATTCTCCGTTTTTTGTCTTAATGGTCACGATATCATCACTGATTCGACCGTTCTTTACTTTCTTGGGTGTACCAAGCTTTCCCCTTAGATGCTACTTTTTTTAAACCTGTCGACAGATTAAATGCACCAGTTTGGCATACACAAACACCTAAAAACAAATATAGAAACTATATAGAATAGAGAATATTTCTAAAAAGGGCTTTACACCATGCGACTTTTGGTATAAACGAACCGAGTACACATTCGGAGATAAATTAATGTTAATACTGAATATTGCTTATTAACCAGCTTTTAAGGAACAGAGCGAGTGCCGGAAGTCGTATCAATCTTACTTCTTCAAAGCGCTCCAACAAGTGTTTTGCGATTTCGATGAAAGTAGGGTTCGGGATCCTTCCTCAAAAATAAATTAGTAGCGCTGAAAATGACGATTTTTTATTTTTGATATTATTATATCAATATTTGGGATATATGGGTTTGCAAACAATAATAAATAACACTTTTATAAAACATTTAAAACTGTATTTATTTATTGACTTACTTACTGGCATAATTGGTGCTAAAGAGAAGACAAAGAAGGAGTCGGAGGGAGAAGAAGTTGGGATAAGAGTCTCCAATCAGTTTCAACAGGCCAGAGGTCTAGGACAACCTGCCAGCCAAGGCGAATCATGAGAGGTTTTTAACGAACAGAAGGTTGTAGGCCAATGGCTGCTGGTCGTTTGAATACGACATCCTAAAATAGCTAAAGTACTGCTAAAAAATAAGACCTTAACTAACCAACATGGACCCTAACAGTCGTCGATGCGACAGTTGTTAGTTTGGATGTGGCATTCTTGCCGCAATATTTTCTCAAAATACGCTCAGATCCTATTAAATGTAGAGGAAAAGTCAAGTTTATTCATTATTTTATGAAGAAACGGGTTTTTCAAAAACTCTCCCACATACGTTGAAAATAATAATTATTTCCAACGAATAAGCCATTACTATCCCCAAACATTTTCCGAACCTTCCTTTCGAAAAACCCCATTAGGAAGATACGTAATTTAAGTAAAACATATATAGATATCATTTTTCAGTCTAAATCCTAAGCATCTTAAGCGTAAATATTTCCTTGACTATTTTCCCATTTTAAATCCTGTTTTCTTTCTTCCATTTAGAAGAATTCAAGTCATAAAAAATGTGTTCCGGATGGACCATTTACTACTATCCATTTATGATACAAATGCTGAAGCCGAATAATACTTAATAAGTTGATAAACCTGCCAGATCATCCAGATGCCTTGAAAAGCGTGGTATCGATTTTCTAATTCTTAAAGCTCGGACCACAAAGAAATTGTTAACCCTCAGACCTACCCTGAGACTTAAGCAGAAATAATATTTGCCAATCCCGGAGGCAGCAAAATATATATATAGGCATACATATGCTAATACCAAAAGGTTCCCTCGACACCTGCATTTTACAGATACGTTAAGCGAAAAGTTAGACAACCTGCAACGTAAAAATGATAATACACTGAATTTTCCATTATTCCATTTGACGTAACGCATGAACACCGTGTTGTTCGTAACTCGGCAAGCCGTTTGCTAAATAAAAAAAATATATAAATGATATGAAAGTAATCGATAAGAAAAATATAATTTGAGTTTGCTGACGTTAATTTAAGTTAATTACTTAATGTAAGTACGATAATTCATACTCTTTTATATATTTCCCGATATTTTTATTAAGTATCGCAAAGAGGTTCTATCCTAAATGTACTAATGGAGATGTAGAATTTAAAGAAAATTACGATCTGATGCCCGTCTATCCGGGGCAGGGAGGGGTTGGATCAAATAAATACCACCGAATCAGGGCCGGAGTGATAGGTTTTCTCTTGGTAATGGTCTACTTAAAACATTCCCATAAAAAAGAATTAATTAAATATCAATTTGAAGTTTATTGCAAACTGTAGATTACGTTCTCGATATTTTGCAGAAATTTATTGGGAAGCCTACAAAAAAAAATTGTTAGAAATACCTTCCGATTTACTGCAATTGAGTATTGATATAATATCCAGAACAGAACCAGATTACATTTGGTTCTATAAACCCATCGTTAATTTGTAAAGATATATAATTATATTATCTAATTAATTAAGATTAACAATATTTTTCATTGTGGGGATATTTAATATCATTATTATAAATTTAATTTCTTAACGGCAATATTTTTGTTGCGTGAATTATTCGCAATTTGTAATATAGGCTTTTGTTATTTACCTACTTCTGGTATTGACGTTTGTTTGTTTTTCAAATACACTAATCCTACTTATTAACTAAAAAAATTTGGTATCCAGGTTGCCCTTACTAAGGTGAATTTGGTGGTAAAAAACTTATCAATACGGCTCTGCACCAAAATAAAATTTATTCTCTCAGTAGTGGAAACACGCACAGATTACGAACAAAGGCGAGCTTTAATTCGAATCGAAGGGTGCACTGGTTGGTAGAATCGAAAATAAATCATTCTAATTACCATTTTATTTACGTTGTGATGGGTTTGTTTTTAAGTTTTTCGCTACTTCCGCGTGTTTGTCCAGTTCCTTGGTTCGATAAATATCAAATGCATCTGCATAGGTTTTTGTGAAAATGATAGATAGAATAAAAGAACACACTACCTAAGAAGACGAAAACCTGCAACCAAAAAAAAATCTGTTTTTTCTCATCTTCTTGACCCGTGGGCTGGTTCACTCATTAAAACCACATCCCGGCCATCATTTGTTTTCATCAAATTTCAGTAAATAATAATGTCGTAGCTATAAAGTTTGTTCACAATAATATGTTGTCGGACAAGATTTCGTTATTATTTTTCGTATTAGTGCAGAACGGAATCAAAAAACGAGTTTTGGATTCGGACATTCTTTGCAAATCAAAATTAGAGTGCATTTGAATCATCGAAAATTTCTGCGGTTCCCCAACATAATTTATGAAAATAATACAAATTTGTAATTTAATCTGTGGGTCCGTTTGTATAATAAGCTTTCAATTGAAGTTTAGCCTGAATCAATAGGAAAAATGTGTTGTACATTACTAGTTTAAATGATGAACTATTGTTGATTTTGTACGTCCTAGCGTTTAATACAAGTTCAAACAGTTTTCTACTCCATTATTGTATTCTTTACTTTTTTTTTCATTATTTAAGACTAGTTAATAATTAGTTAAAAGTTTCGCAAACCTCACAAGTGTACCAGATCATTTCAATATCTGAATCGATGAAGAATTTAATGTACAATTTAGATTGAAGAAGCAAGCAGCACAATGTAGTCGAAAATTTTACCATTACTACAGATAATATTTGTTTTTCGATTTAATTAAATTTCTATTTTTTAAAGATATTTATTAGTTTACGTTTTAGCTAGGGTACAATAAAATTGCATATAGCATACCCATACCATACCATAATTTCTTTGTGGACTTTTTTTTGCCAGATCACCCTTCGAACAAAACTTTACGCTTCGAACTGCCGTCATTAGCCAACAGTAGTCCAATAGAATTATGCTTAAATCACTCATGATGTTCTATTTAATAGTTTTAATATCTATGTTTTCATGTAGTGATTCCTTTTTTTTTGAGGCGCAAGCAATGAAATTGCCAAGTGCAGTGTCAATCTATGATACGATAAAAAAATAATGAAGAAAAGTTTGTCCAAATATAAAATGACTTAATCGATTCTAGTTCAAAACTTAGGGCAATCTAATATAATATAATAATGATCCAATAATCCAAAAAAATAAAAAATAATTAAAATTTCTAAACCCGCCCTACATAGGAATTAAGTTCGGTGGTATTAAGTAACAATAATCAGAAGAAAGCATGTCATAATACTGATGTAGGGTATACGATTTAGATAACGATGTTGCCAAATGTTATTGTTAGAAGGAGCAACGTTCGAAACATTTGAATTTGATGGAGCGGAAAAAACCTAAATGTCTTAATTTTTGTACAACTTTTCACCAATGCAATCTTGAAAGCAGGAAGCGGTCTTTCATAATTTCGGACTACACGCCCACTCTTCTGAAAACATACGAATAATGGCGGTTCAAAATGAAGCAAGTGTGAAAAATGTCGCTTGCCAGCTTGCACTCGTTTGTAATGTGTCGATCGGCGACTTAAAAAAACGAGCTCTTCAAAGACAAAGTGTATTTCTCGTGGATGCCGGCTCTCGGTTAAGTGTTGAAAATGTTACTTGCGCCAACCGGTTAATTTTGAGAGCAATCCTAAGAATAAGCGCAGCCGAATACGACGTAAATTATGCTCTCTGCATGTATTTCTGATCAGACGCAGATATTTCAATGCGCAACATTGACAAAATGGTGAAGTTAAATTTCTTGTTGAATGGTATAACATTAAAAATAAAAGACTCTGAAATATCTGATGCAGATCAGTGCAGTTTTTTTTTTTGTTTCTATATGAAAATAAAAATAGGCATGTTAGAAAAGTGAAATTGGTAAGATACGTAGTTTCTAGTTGTAATTTGTCAATTTCTTACTTACCTTAAAATGTGATAACGGAAGATATTTATGGAATAATTAAAAAAGAAGCACCTTCAGGTTGCTACAAAAAAATCTATATCAAGTCATTTTGAAAACCACGCCGCATTCGCGTTGTCGTCCGCGAAAAGCGCGTCGCCGACTGAAACTGCTCGCCAGTTTCCCACCCTCGAACAGCTGACAGACATTACCGCGCAATATTGCCGCCCGAGAAAAAGCTATTACAAAAAATTATGTGAAACGAAAAATAAGAGGCTAATGATTAAACAGTTGTGACCGATTATAACGTAAAGATATGGAGAGTAATTGTCAAATAGAAAGATTCCAATTAATTCAACCATACTCAGCATTTCTAGAGACATCGTTTTCATTTTGTTTTTAAAGAAAAAAATCGAAAAAAAAACAGATATTTTAATTTCATTTGTTAGTCAGCAAGACACAGTGTATATACAAAGTTCTGGGAATTTAGCCTTACAGCACGATTACGATTAATTATTTTTTTTAGATTCGATCAATTCAATCCACCTATGCGTGACACGTTTAACCTCAAATCGAACAACCCGTAAGGGTTTTTTCAAATCTGGCAACCGGTGATAACCACTGGGTGTAAAATCTGGAGAAAAAGGAGGGCGAGGAAGCAATTCCCATCGTAAATCGTTCAAAACATCCTTCGTTTGTATAAGTGCGCGGTCTTGCATTATCCTGTTGCAATAACGGACACTTATTAGGCAACTTTCCATGCCATTTTTGACATGCGCTTGTCGCAATGGTCCCGATCATAAATTCGTCGATAGATTATTCATAAAGATGATCCCTTCGCAGTCCCAGAATACAGTCAGCATTATCTTTTCAACAAACGGAACTGTACGCGCTTTAAGTGGAGACTCTTCTTCAGGTCCGCTACATTCTTTGAAGTAACATTTGATCACCGTAAAACAGCTTTTGAAGTTGAGGACAACGATGAGACCTATTGTTTTTTTTTTCTAGCCCCGAAACGTCATGGAAGATATCATGAACTTGTCGTATACCTATGAATAGGTGCACATTAATTTGGCGCCTCAAATCTTTCGCCTTCGTCTTGGACGGCAGTAAGGTTTCTGTCGATTAGTGACTTGCTTGGGAGCCCAATGCCCTTCTAGTGATGTGCTATCTGTTTTAAAACTACCGATCCACCGATTAACTATATTTTTCAATTTTATATACTCACCAAATACTCCATGTAGACGCTGAATAATTTCGGGTATTTTCACATAAAGAAAATAATTGAGATTTGAGATTTTGCTGAGTCTTCTAATGCTACAGTGCTATGAAAACGCGTTTCTGTTAGTTGATCACCTGAACAATATTGAACGACGTACCAATAATATTGCCTATAAATTATGTGGAATTTAATAACACAACAACTCCCAGAACTTTAAAAACATCCCTCGTAAAATAAACTAAAAAATATCGGAGATCAAGGATTGAAACCTTCAGTTGTACAAGATTTATAAGCATCGGAATGTTCATGGAAACGTATTGCTAAAATTTCATAATACAATAAACCACCGAACAGTTACAAAGAAGAAAGGAAAGTCTCGGTTTTGTATTGTTGCGATTAGATCCAACAAATCGAAAGGAAGGCGATAGGACTTATAGTCACGATCCCAGATGGTTTGCCTCCTTTTACGAAGGACCCCGTCGCACAGCCCCGGCTTTTGTATATGAAGAATCGCCGAGACGTACTTAGAATAGAATGCACGTTGCCGACATAGAATAGAACTTTTAAATAAAGCAATGTCGTTTGCGATCTCGGATATTTTGTTGGGTAAGCAAACTACTGATACTGGGGTTAAGGTATAGAGACAATTTAATTAGTTCTGGGGTGTTTCACCAAAGTTTTCTTTTTTTTCTGTTAAAATATTATTACTATAAAATAACATAACAGAAGCTTTTCTTAGAGTTTAATAAAAACATATAAATGAGAAAGAACTAAAATCGCATGCGCATATTAGCATTTAACTTTTTATAATTTTCTTATAGTAGTTGATTATTTATTAGGCCTTAATTGTAAAAAAATGTACTTTGTTTAATAAAATTGAACATCTTCGTGTAACAATGTAAGAATACGAAAGCTGAGTGCATCCGCTCCCCATAAACGTGATTGTCAATAAGAAAAAAAAGTATAGTGCTAAGATATGTTTTCAAATCCTAAAGTTAAGATAATGATATACCCATACTGTCTTTATTGCCTCTTATGCCCATGCCAATTCTAAAGGATCATACAGTTATATTTCGTTTTGAAGCGATTTCGTCGACAACAAATTTAGTACATAGAAGTTTATAAACATTTATAATCTCCAATAACCTCTTCCTGAAATTGCTTCTTATTTAAAGTAAGCCAATAAATGATTTCTCATTTTCCTCCGAACTGTCTAACTTCAATTTCAATCTCAATTTATAGAACTTAATCCCCAAGAAGAATTACTACACAGCAAACCCAACTACAACACTTACACTATTATATATGCGATCGTTATGGCCAATCTGGCACCTAGGTAAAGTAATACCTAAGTAATTGTTTGTGCCTAAGGTTTGGAAACACTGAAACCATATCCGAAAATGAAAAAAAAAACATAAAAACAGTACAACAAAAAAAGAAAAGTAAGGCACCTCAATTACTAATATTGAGAACTATGATAACTTGAAATGTGTTCACTGAAAAGAGTTTAACTTAGGGATAGTTTCGAAATTAAAACAGACACTCAAAGGCTTGTTTATTTAATCCGAAATCACTTTTAAACAATTTTTTAAATCGTTGTTTTTCATTAACGTAAATTAGCAGGCATTTCATTATATAATTTGGGGCCGATATATGATACAAAATATTTTCCCTAATAATAATAATAATTTCAAGTATATCCCCACAATACAAGAGATTCGTTAGATATATTCTTGGTATTCTCAGTATAGTGCGCAATATATAGTTCTGTGTTACTTTTAGATAGTTAGTTGGTTAACTACTCTCAAATATCGTCGTCGGCAGCAGATAATTTCGTCTTTCTCTATTAATCTATTAATCTATTTATTTCCTTCAAAGCTTTCCACCATTTCTTCTTCCACATAGGTGAAATAAAATCATCCTTTTTCATTTCGGATAATACTTTGTTCCAGGTATGTATTGTTTAAAGAAAACAGAGTGTATTATTCTTCTACTGATAGTCTTTTCATCCTTATTTATTATAGTTTATTTTCTTCTTGTGCTTCTCTTTGGTTAGCTGCTGGAACCGCGTTTAACCTAGTGCACAAGTCGGTATATTGTGGACTTTCCAAATCAAAATCATACTTGAACATATTTCAATTATTTTTGCAAATCCGAATGTTGAGTTTTGATGACGAAGAGCTTTGGACATGTTAAGAATAACAATTTTTTCATTTCTAGAAAGCGCAGTTTTACTAATCCGTTTCTACGCAACAAATTCAGTAACATTTTTCAAGAACAAACTTTGCTAACAACTATCGCAAAGTAACTATAATTCTAATTTAAACACTAAGTCTATTTACTATTTACCGTCTATTTACTACTCTCGGGACCCTTGACAATCGTAAGTATTGTACTTATTTATTATGCCTATGGAATACGGCTAAAACAGAGCATAAGAATGTGTGTTTGTTTTCTCATTCTCACTGACTGGGACACCTTTTCGAAATTTGCAATTTTACAGCACCAAGGCGACATATATTCGCATTCTTATACATATACAGATAAATATACAAAACAGTCATGAAATTATTCAATTTGTAAAGTTGGTTGTTCAAAACAAACTTTGTTTCAGGAAAGTATAAATCACAAAATCTTATTCCAACATTTTCTGGGGTTGAACTTGCATATTTATGAGTATCCACGAACCCTAAAGCACGTTCCCTCCTCTCACATCAAAAAAAATAATTCCGTTCTTAAAGTTTATAAAAATAAGCCGTTTATAAAAACTATGTTGCCTTCGACCCTCAATGCAATAGCACACCATAACTAACCTACCATACATATAGTCTTAATTAAAGAGTTTATTGAACTTAACTTCATTAATGTAACACGTCCATTTTCCTGAATTATACTCATACGTATTTTTTGCCTTGATTTTAAGACATTTATTTTTTGAACTTTCATGTTCATTTTTTCCTAATATTCATTTTTGCGGTTTTAAAAAAATATTCGCATTGGTTTTCGTTGTAACGAAATAAAGAGAGTGGAAGAAATATTTTCAAATTTTATAGCGTAAGTTTAAGCACCGCAGTAAAGTTTTAGACAACCATTATACGTAAGAGGCCCCGAAAGTGCTTTTACTGGACTCTTAGGTTCCTCTTTTACTCTAATTTCGTGATTTTCGGAGAGCAGCTTTTATTGTCGAACTATTCATCGCGATAGGCGTAGATCGGTCGTGTCGACGTAATATCTGACGTTTCACATTATGTAATATCCATTGAAAATTTGGTTTTCTTCGCTTACCTACTCCTTACTTCGCTTCCTTTATTAATATTGCCACTTATCGCGATGTATATACGGCACATTCTCGTTCCAGCAATCGTTACTTTAATATACTCCTATTATACACAACGAATTAAAAATATACTGCCATTAAATGAGATACTTAAACATCATAAAAAAAACTGAAAATGTTCTTGGTCCTATTTTAAAAATAACAATTAAAACACAGACTCCCTTGCTGAAAAATAAACCTATTTAAATGAATCAAAAACAAAAACAAAAGGAAAAGATTCTGCTAACCAATGACAAATATTTTACTGATTTGTTTTATTTTATTTATTTTTTATGTATTTCTTTTTATAAAGTTACAGCCGAGACGATTTATGTAAGTATGTTCTAACTTTTATGCCAACATACATATTGTTTTGTTAAATTTCAAACTATCTATAGTTTTTGCACAAAAAAGACAGTTTTTGATAATACCTCCACTCATTTTTGTGAAAACGTGGCAGCACCATTTCTCCTAGAATAACGAATACTTCCAATTTTCTGTAATCATTTTCAGATTGTTATGAAAAATTGCAAGAGATATACGAATAACAATAATAAAGCAATTTTTAATATTTGTGGTTTTTCTTTCATATCATGTAGGTGCTTCATACTTTTTGAAAAA